GCGGGCAGGCCTGGGGGCAGCAGGCGGCAGGACGCATTCTTGGCCCGCTGCTTGCAGGGCACCTCGTGAGCCCGGGGCCACCGTGGCTCCGAGTAGAAGTGGAACGTGGCCGTGAGGATCATTTCCGAGTCCTGCATGGAAGTCAGGTTGAAGAAGTACAGGGCCCTCTGGTTGACCACTTCTGCGAGGGAGGACAGACACAGCCTGTTAGGGTCTCTCCTGCAGAGGCCAGGGCTGGGATGGAAGAGGAACACCCATTTAGGGGGCTCCTCCAGGCCAGCCAGGCTGTCCTCGTGTAATTCTCACATTAAACTAATGAGGGCGCCCTCTGCTATCCCCAGTGAGTGGATGAGAAATTAAGGTCACAGAGTTTGGGGACTGTCAATATCCCGATGCAAACAAGGAAATGTAGCCGCAGACAGGGCAGGTGCTCAGGCTACTGACCCCTAAAACTCCTGTCATCGCCCCCCCCCCCAACACACACACACACTCCAGTGCCTCTCAATGAACAAATGAACAAACGACCTCTGGCCCATTAATGGGTAAGGTGTTCAGGATGGCGTGGGCTGAGTCCAAGTGCTGCTGAGAGCAGCCCTTCCTGTATTTCCTCTGCCTTTATTTAACAGACATTAAATGCAGCCGTTCTTCCAAATGAGGTGCAGGAGTAGCTAGCCCCATACCCTCCTGTGCTGAGGGCCTGCTGAGGGAAAAGGGCCTACGGACACAGTCACCTGGCTGTCTGCTGTGCTCTGCCCAACGGCTTAAAAAAAATCCTCACCCAAGGACATGCTGAGAGGGAAAAAGAGAGAGATGCATGTGAGAGAGACACACTGGTCCCTTGCCTTCTATATATGCTCTCATTGGAACCAACCCGCAACGCAGGCATGTGCCCTGCGTGGGAATTGAACCAGCAACCTTTCTGTGCACACAGTGACACTCAACCAACTGAGCACCTCTGGCCGGGCTGCCTAATGGCTTTTCAGCTTGTTTTACAAAGAAAGAAATCAGGCTGCACAAGGCCACCCAACAAAATTTCCAATGTCCAGGTTGCTCCAGAGGCCCAAACCATGGTAGGGCCTGGGATCCCTCAAACAGCCCCTCTGAAGTTGGAGAATGCTCTGGCCCCTGCATCCTGTGGCTGCCAACCCCTCTTTCCTTCTCTCCTGGGTCTACCAAGTTACCCCTAGTTCCCAGGGCCAAGCCCCCTGGTCTGCAGCTCCAGGAAGCTGCCTGGCCTGGCAGCATGAGCTCCCTGAATGGCCAAGTCCTCTCTAGGGTTCGAATGGGAGGGAAGGGTGGTTCCCGGGGCCTCCCAGTGGTGCTGCGGACCAGCAGGAGAACAGAGCTGCCGGGCAGGCTGCCCCCCTGAGGTATGTCCTGCTGCCCGTGTGGGCCTGCTGGGCAGAGCTGGAAGAGGGCAGCGCTCCAGAGCTCGGAATGTCATGTGTGCTGGTGCTGGTGCTGGTGCTGGGCCGGGTGCAGATGCCCTCACCTGTGCACCCAAGGGATCCGCTGGGATTATTTTCAAAACGAAAATCTTCAGTTCACAGTTCATCGTTTATACTAGGAAGGAGGCATGATTCAGTTGGGAACTCTCACCCACTCTTAAGGGACTATGAGGGGGAAGAAGGAGAACACACATCTGCGGAGGTCCTGGGGAATGCCCGTCACGGCTCAGTGGCACTCCAAGGCCCCACCTTATCTATTTCTCAGAGCAAACACAGAGTTGTGGTGGCCACTGTGGCCGCCTCGAGGTGTGGCCTGCTCCACACACAGGAGCAGAGCATAGTCAATGCACATTGGAACGGGCTTCCCCTAACCACTGCAGCCTGGAGTGTCATGGTCGAGTCCTGCATTTCTCAGACCCCTGATCACTGCCTTCCTCCTTGGATGTGACTCAGAAAGCATGGAAAATGGGGCCCAGGAATCTGTAGTTTAACCTGCAACTCAGGGGTTCTAACCAGCAAGAAGTTTGGGAAGCACCGGGGGGTGGGGGTGGGGGGAGAGTGGCTGTGAGCCTGCAGCATCTGGATTGGCCCCAGCGCCAGGCATCTCCGTGGTTCCCTGCTTCATTTATCTTCATGTCACTTCCCAATATCCTGACATATATTCCTTGGGGTTTCTCTCCCCCAGGACACACGCTCCCAGAGAGTAGGGGCTTTGCCAGCTTTGTTTGCCTCTGTGTCCCTAGATACCAACACAAGGCCGAGGGACTCAGTGCTCCGAAACACATGCTGGGGGATGGAGCCTGGGGTCTGTGCTAGCTCTCTGTCTGCACCAGTTAGCAGGTGGGCTCGACCCTACAGGAACAGGACTCGAGCCGCCTGAGATGCGTGCTGTCGTCCATTGCCCTCGAAACAGCCATCAAGGTGACCCGGGTGAGAACCCTGGAAGACACAAGTACCACATAAGCTGGAGGAAAGGCGCAGTGGGGCCGGTGGTGCTGCAGAGGAGGGAGAGCTAAGATGAACCGAGCGTCTTTCTTTCAGGCAGGCCCAGAGTCGGGTTCCGTGTGCTTGCATCACTTACTAGCTCTAGGGCCTTCAACGAGTCATGGACCATCTCTGTGCCTCAGTTTCCTCCCCAGGGAACTACAGAATATTTGTACCCACCCCTTAAAGTTGTAAGATCATTCTGTGGAGCATGCTGCATGGTGCCCTGTGGCATCGTGAGCTGCGGCAGGGATCAGGGCACTGTGCCCTGATCCCTGCCTCGTGCCCAGTGAAAGGCATGGCCACCTGTCCCCTCTCCACCCAACAGGAGCCCGAGGATGCTCATGGCCTCCTCCCGGCCAGCATCTAACCAATCCCAGTCCTCTGGGCTTTGCACCTGCTCGTCCACAGCCGTCCTGCACTCTGGTCCCTCCCCACTGCTCCGTCCAGGGCACGGCCTCATGCCACTGTGCCCAGGGCCCCACCCCCTCATGTCACTCTCAGGCCTCAAGGGAGTCATCCATTTTAGGTGAAGGGTTAATGTCCTTAATACATAAAGAACCTCCACAAATCAGGAAGAAAAAGACAGAATCCCAATAACAGAAACAATAAAAAAAAAGGCAACTTCAAATGAGAATATAACACATTTTACCTGCATGTTGAACATATGATCCTAAAAACTACACATCCCACCAAAATATTACCTCTGGTGAGATCTGGGTGTGTGATTAGGGATGACTTCTCTTTACTGTGATTTTCTATGATTTCTAGATTTCCCCAGTAAGTAAGCATTGCTTTTATGATCTTTCTTTCTTCTCTTTCCTTTCTCCTTCCCTTGAGTCTCTCCTTCCTTCCTCCTTCCCCTCCCTCTCTCCTCTCCCTTCTCTTTCTTTCCCCTCCTTCCCTTTCCCTCTCTCCCGTCATTCCTCTCCCCCCCCCCATCACTGTATAACACTGTATACTCCCCCATGGCCTCCAGGACACTCAAGCTCTTGATGGCCCGGCTATAGCCCACTGGTCCGCTTCTCCTCACCTTATCCCCTCATTCAAACCCAAGTCCTCCCAGGTCCAGGCGCACAGCCGACGGCTTCACCTCCACAGCTGCCTAAACGCCACCTGCCCTTTCATCTGCCGTGGGTCTCACCTGCTGTAAGGGCTTCACTGGCGCTATCCTGAGCCCTTCCCTGCTGTTCCTTGGGGATCCCGAAGTCCCCCCACCCCCCAGGCCTCGGTGGAGTCAGCTCCTGAGCGTTTCTGGGCAGGCAGGGCCCAAAAATGCATCTTTGTATCATCTGAGCTCCCCCTGGGGTGCTGAGAAAGACCTGGGGAACGGAAATGAATGTGACTTTTGACATTGCAGACAGATAGGTGTGTATTATTACACTCCTTTTAGAGATACAGAGGTCAAGCTGAGAGAGGTTAAGTAACATGTTGGTATTACACAAGTGGGTGCAGAGCAAAGATTTAAATGCAGGCTATTTGGAGGGGGGTGTCTAATCTTAACCCTTAGGGGCAGGCTCAGAGGCTCTCTCCACTGATGTAGCCTTAATAAGGAGCAAAGCATACTCAGTGGAAGGGAGAGAGGGTGGCTGGAGTAATAATAGTAGGAGCTAATAAATTATTGACACATACATCAGGCATTTTTTAAACACTTGACATGTTTCAGATCATTAAAAAGCACCTTATAAGAAAGGCAGAATTTCAGAAGTGAAAAGCTGAGGCGCAATCAAGTGTAGCCCTTGTCCGAGTCACAGACACAGGACCTGGTCCCCCCCCACCCTCCACCCCCCACCCCTGGCAGCTCACAGCCCGTCCTGGGCACCTGAGATCGCCGCCTGGGCCTGGTGGCAGGTGAGGAACACATTCCAGGAAACAAGGCTGAGGGCCCAGCACCTGCTGTGCAGGGAGAGGCGCCACCCACCGAGCGGCAGAGGCACCGCCTGGGAGCTGGCCCGGGACATTCCGGTTCCAGAGCGGAAGCCCGACTTTTTTGCCTCATTCATAAGGTGAGGGACCCCTGCCCAGGCTCACACCTCCTCACAGCTGGTCAGAAAGCAGGCATCGCTGAGGGCTGGAGAGCAGCTGCATAAGGAACAACTGAAGTGAATCAAGGGAGGGGAGGAGAAACTAAGCTGCTGAGCCTGCTCTGTGCCAGGCACCAAACCCCCCTCACCCTCCGAACCTTCCCGCCCCGCTGTAGGCACAGAAGCGGGTGCTCGGAGAGGTAAAGTGAGGCGCACCTCAGCACGCGCCAGTAGCTGCCGGCCAGAGGGTCCAGGCGGGAACGTTAGATTTAATGTTAGGTTTGTCAGACAGTCCCAGGCTCCTTCAGAGTAAGCCCCCAGATCGTCTCTTCTGCCTGCCATCTCCCAAGCCCTGGGCTTAGTCATGATGGTGCTGGGGGAGGGAGAGCTGTGGAAATAGCACGGGCTTAGCAGATGGGAAGCGCCACCCATTGCCACTGTTGTGAACAGCCCCGCCCCCTGCCTCGGTTTCCTTCCCTGTGAAATGGGAGGGCTGGATCTGAAGGACTGTCGCCGGGTCCTTTTCAGGGCTAACATGCTGTCTTCCCTCACTGTTACTTGTAGTACCCCCATTCTGCGAGAACAGAGATCAACTGTGCGCCTCCATCCAGGGGCTGCAGCAAGGGGGTGGGCTCCCGGGGTGCTCGCCCCTTGTTGCAGCAATGCTTTCCTCAACTGCGATGCTTTGAGGACTGACTCAATGGGTGCAAGGTCAAGTCTACACCTTTATGAACACAAATGCTTGTATTCCGAGGGGAATAGCATGTACCAGCACCTAACCTGGCCAGGGCTGGCTCGGGCTCATACACATCACCTCAGCTCAGCTTCCCTGCCACCCCACAGGGAAGATACTGGCATGAACGTCCCATTTTGTGGATGAGTACACTCAAGTCCACAGAGCTTTAATGATTTGCTCAAGGTCACATCCATGCTCGATGATTCTTGAGGGGCTTAATTAATAATGCTGCTGCAGAAATAGCCCCCAGGTGGTGAATGGAAGGTACCAGGGAGGATGGCGTTAGTTCTGGTTGACCTGGAACCCATCTGAGTCTGCTCAGTGCAGGGTAGGGGAACGGGGCCTCTCTCTGGCAGGTGCTCCCAGTACAGGGGTCAGTGAGGCCAAGCTTCCCAGGTGTGGCTCGGAGCCACAGATGCTACCTGAGTCACATAGCCAGTGATCAGCAGGTGGCAGATCTGACCCAGGACGTGTGGCCCCAATGTTGAACTTGTTCCTGGTGGTCTTTCTTCTGACGCACGGCCTCCTCCCCCCCAGGGCTGCAGAGGACCCCGACCCACACTTTCTGGAATGGCATCCTGTGATCATGAGTAGTCTCCAAGACAACCAGGGTCTCTCCCCACCCCTGGCCCCAGGCTGCCCCACCTCTGCACCATGGGGACCGCAGAGCAGCCCAGCCCAGGTGGACAGACATGAGGCTCTAGGCTGGCGTTGCTCTCTGAGCAGGGCAGGGGCGCTGTGCAAGCGGCCTCTGTGCAGGTCCATTCAAGGTGTGGGAAGGGGAAAGGATCTGCACAAGCTTCTGGAGCCTTCCTCCAACCCTCCTGAGCACTTCATGCCGGAGCCCCGCAGGCCCTTTTTGGTCCAACCTACTTCTCCAGCCACCAAGCCCACGACCTGCCCCCAGCTCGAGGCTCACACCCTCTGTCTGGGCCCTGGGCCTGGAACATCTCTGCCCACCTGCCATGCCCTCCGCAGGGCCCTCCGCAGGGTGAGAGCCAACACAACTGACCCCATGACATGGACCCCCCACCCATGAGCTTCCCAGCCCAGTCCCATCTCCATCCTTGTGCTCAAGGCCCTGCCTACGGGATGATCTGTATCAGCAAGTGTGACAGGCTTCCAGGTTCGCAGCCCCTCACTCTGGGCTACTTCGGTGACCCCACTGGAGGCGGCTCAGGGACTGGCAGAAGCACTTGGTGAATCTTCAGTGAGACAATGAATGAATGCGACAATGAGTGGAAGGAAGAGGACATGCGGAGATGCAGGGGTAGAGGAGGAGCAGGAAAGGAGAGAATGACAGGGCTGGAGCCCTTTACTTACCCAGCCTGGGCCTGAAGCTGCGGACCGTGTTGCCCCCTCCAGGCCGCGCGCCCCTTTGGCGGTATTTCTCATAAAGCCGAAGCATGTGGACAGCGACCATGTCCTGGGCGCCAGGGCCCAGAGCTGCGGCCCTGTCCCCCAGGAACAGCTGGGGGTCCTTGTCCC